GTTAAAGAGGTTGATGTACAAAATGTAATAGTATGTAATAAAGTGATAAATTAATAAAAAATTAAAAAAAAATAAGATAAAAATTTAAATTTCACACAATCCTGCTACTCATTTTCTTAACTCAAGCTTTCCTCTGTCCACACAAGCAAATGGTGCTCAAAGGTATAATAGCATGTTAAAGAGCACAATTTTCTGCTGAAGAAATATACTTCTATATTCTATTTGCATAGTGTAAGCATTCAAAAGGTAGCTTACTTTAAAGGTTGGGCTGAGTACATCTTGTGCATTAGCCATCAATTTTGGGTTCCTAATAGTGACTCTTAATACCTAAGATGACGAATTAACAGATGTTTTTCAAGCTGTTTATTCATTTCAGGCCTCATTGACTTCAACCTATTCATGATAAAAACAACACACAATTAAAAAAAAAAAGATCCCAGCCATACAAAAAATAAAAAACTAACCCCAAAAGTAAAGAAACCTTATGAAGATTTCTAATTAGAACTACAGGAAAGGAGATTCCAACTGAACATTAGGAAGTTCCAGCAGTGGAAATCTCTGCCCCAGAGTGTGGTTTGAAGGCTTTTAAACAGAGGCTGGATGACCATCTGTTGGAGGTGTTTTGAATGCCGTTTTCCTGCTTCTTGGCAGGGAGTTGGACTGGATGGCCCATGGCGTCTCTTCCAACTCTATGATTGATTCTATGTATGAAGACAGCATAGTGTGTTTTGCCTTAAAAAAAAGAAAACAAATAAACAGGAAAGTCGAATAGATAGTGACTTGCGTCATCACCAGGAAAAGAAAACAGTGCCAATAAAATATTGGCACTGCTGCTAATTTTATATGTTGTGTTTTGAAAGCCAAGTGGGAGAAGGAGAGGCTTCTACTAATCATTGGCTGCAGTCCTGTTGGTGCTTGGCCATTGTTGTCTGATTTGCACCATACACATTCACTTCATAAAATCAAAAATGTGTTGGTAGTGCTGAAAATGCACATTCTTAGTCAATCATTTGCAACCAATTTACTGAGTATCAGTTGTATATTATTTATTTATGCAACTTTGTCATTCAACAAAAGGTTTATGCAATACAGTTGCAAGGTTGTCCATAGCAAAAAGATAATAAAGAATATCACATGGTATATGAGAAATCAGAAATTTAATTTAAAGTTTTAAATTTTGGCCTGAATTTCTTGAAGTTGAAAAATTATTATGGTTTTGATGGATTCATTTCAATTGGTGAAACCCGAGGATGTGGACAAGATACTTGGAGGAATGAGGCCTACCACATGCATCCTAGACCCCTGTCCATCCTGGCTTTTGAAGCAAGCCAGAGGGGGATTGGCCGAGTGGGTAACGGTGGTGGTTAATGCCTCCCTTCGGGAAGGCAACATTCCAGCGAGCTTAAAACAAGCTATAATAAAACCGCTGTTGAAAAAACCATCACTGGACCCCACTAAATTCGACAACTATCGGCCAGTATCCAATCTCCCCTTTTTGGGCAAAGTCCTGGAACGTGTGGTGGCTTCACAACTCCAGGTATTCTTGGACGACACGGATTATCTGGATTCGGCGGAGTCTGGCTTTAGACCGGGACATGGAACCGAGACAGTCTTGGTCGCCTTAGTGGATGATCTACGCCGGGAGCTCGACAGGGGGAGTGTGTCCCTGTTGGTTCTGCTGGACCTCTCAGCAGCCTTCGATACCGTCGACCACGGTATCCTTCTGGGACGCCTCGCGGGAATGGGCCTTGGAGGTACTGTTTTGCAGTGGCTCCGGTCCTTCCTAGAGGGCCGATCTCAGAAGGTGTTATTGGGAGACACCTGTTCTACCTCACAACCATTGTCTTGTGGGGTTCCTCAGGGTTCAATCTTGTCTCCTATGTTGTTTACATCTACATGAAGCCGTTGGGGGAGACCATCCGGAGTTTCGGGGTACGGTGTCATCTGTACGCAGATGATGTCCAACTCTGTCACTCCTTCCCACCTGCTACTAAGGAGGCTGTCGAGGTCCTGAACCGGTGCTTGGCCGCTGTAACGGTCTGGATGAGGGCTAACAAATTGAAATTGAATCCAGGCAAGACAGAGGTACTCTTGGTCAGTCGTAAGGCCGAACAGGGTATAGGGTTACAGCCTGTGTTGGACGGGGTTACATTCCCCCTGAAGACGCAGGTTCGCAGCTTGGGTGTGATACTGGACTCATCGCTGAGCCTGGAACCCCAGGTTTCGGCGGTGACCAGGGGAGCATTCACACAATTAAAACTTGTGCACCAGCTGTGCCCGTACCTTGGGAAGTCTGACTTGGTCACGGTAGTCCATGCGCTGGTTACATCCCGTATAGATTACTGCAACGCTCTCTATGTGGGGTTGCCTATGAAGACTGCTCGGAAGCTACAAATGGTCCAACGATCGGCAGCCAGGTTGTTAACAGGAGTGGCACTCAGGGAGCACACCACTCCTCTGTTGCGCCAACTCCACTGGCTGCTAATCTGCTACCGGGCACAATTCAAAGTGCTGGCTTTAGCCTTTAAAGCCCTAAACAGTTCTGGCCCGACCTATCTGTCCGAACGCATCACCCCCTATGAACCAGTTAGGACATTAAGATCGTCCGGGGAGGCCCTGCTCTCGATCCCGCCAGCCTCACAAGCATGGCTGGCGGGGACGAGAGACAGGGCCTTCTCAGTGGTGGCCCCTCGGCTGTGGAACGCCCTTCCCGCAGACATTAGATCGGCCCCCTCCCTGCTGGCGTTCAGGAGAAGAGTGAAGACCTGGCTCTTTGAACAGGCGTTTAATTAATGCAGTGCAATCAATTGATTGAGTTTGGAACTTGGAATAATGGACGAGGAGATCGGATTATGACTTTGCTGATGAGACGTGATGGATTAGTTATATGGATGTATTGATGTTATATTGATCCGAATAATGGACGAGGAGATCAGATTACGACTTTACTGATGAGACGTGATGTACTAGTTATACGGATGTATTGATGTTATATTGATGCACTGATGCAACTACATATTGATGTAGTTGCCTAGTTATTGTTTTAATGCTAATGTTGTGCACTTTGTATATTGACTTGGTTGTAAACCGCACTGAGTCGCCTACGGGCTGAGAGAGAGCGGTATACAAAAAAAGTAAATAAATAAATACATAAATAAATTACAGATTTGCTGACAGAATAAAAAACCTAATGCTACTTTATTATCCTACTAGCTGTACCCGCCACGCGTTGCTGTGGCCAAACTTTGCTCCCTCTTCCTTTCCTTCCTTCCTTTCCTCTATTTCTTTCCCTTCCTATTTGTCTTCTTTCTTCCATCTCTACCTGTTTCTTTTCCCCCTTCTTTGCTCTTTGGTTGCATCCTTCCTTCTCTCCTTCCTTCCTTTTTTCCTTCCTTGTTTTTCGTTCCTTCTCTCCTTCTTTCCCTCTTTTTTTCCTTTCACTTTTTTATTTCCTTCTCTCCTTCCTTCCTTTTTTACTTCCCTGTTTTTCATTCCTTCTCTCCTTCTTTCCCTCTTTTTTTCCTTTCACTTTTTATTTCCTTCTCTCCTTCCTTGCTTTTCTTTCTTTCTTTCTTTCCTTTCTTCTTTCCTTCCCACCTTGTCTCCTTCCTTCCTTCCCCCTTTCCCTCCTTCATTCCTTCCCTCTTTCCCTCGTTACTTCTTGACTGTCCCTTCCATTTAATTTGTATTATATAGTAATATTATTATATATATATATATATATATATATATGTAACATATTATATAGTAATCTATATAACAATATATAAAATATTGTATTTATATCTTACATAGAAAGAAGGAAAGGAAGAAGGAAGGAAGGAGAGAAAGAAGGGAAAGAAAAGAAAGATGGAGGGACAGGAAGGAAGGAAAGGAAGGAGAAGGAAGGAGGCAAAGGAAGAAGGGGGTGAAGAAAGGAGGGAGGGAAGGAAATGAAGAAAGGGAAAGAAGGAGGAAAGGAAGGGAGGGAGGAAGGAAAAGAAGGAAAGGAAGAAGAGAAAGAAGGAAAGGAAGGAGAAGGAAGGAGGGAGGGACAGGAAGGAAGGAGGAGGGGAGGAAAGGAAGGGGAAGGAAGGAAGAAAAGGAAAGAAAGGGAGGGAGGAAAGAAGGGAAGGGAGTCCTTTCGGGTGGAGTGTGGCAAAGGCAGCTACCTCCTGTGTGTGTGTGTGTTAAATGTGTGCTCGTGTTGCCGGAGACAGGCGAGCAGGTCAGACAGAAAGGAAAGAGTTAAAAAAGAAAGAAGGGTCTACAGAAAGTTCATCCCCCACCCTCCGGCTTCTTCCAACAGGGAAAGGTGGAGGAGGAGACCGCCCTCCTGGCATAGCAGGGAAAGAGAAGGGGCTCCATGCGGCAAGCCTCCCCCTCCACTCCCATGGTGCCCACTCTCGCTTGTGTGTGTGTGTGTGTGTGAACCATGCTCGCGTGACTGGCTCCTCAAGCTTTAACGGCCGGATGTTTCCCTGCGAGGGGGGGGGGCATGGCCATGGGTGCCTTTGTAGACATGCAGTTTCCCCTTTGTGGACATGTAGTTCAGAAGTCCTTTCTGCTTTTTGTTTTTGTGGGTTTTTTGAGTGGAGAACATACATTGGGTTGTTAGGTGTATCGTGTCCAAATTTGGTGCCAATTCATCCAGGGGGTTTTGAGTTCTGTGAATACCACAAATGAACATTACATTTTTATTTATATAGATATATACATGAATAAGACTAGAAATTTTGGTTAAAAAAATCACCCCGAAAAACCTGGGTTAACTTACACATGCGTCAGGCTGAGTACTAAGGTTGTGCATGGATCCATTTTCAAAAATGGTCTTCAGCTGGTTTGGATGCCTGTAAAGGCATGGGTTCCACCGTCGTTTTCCCCCCCGCCCCAAACAGAACAGTGGCTGCCAAAAAATGTCTGCTTTGTGTTTCTTTCAGTTACACGTGGAGTGAAGAGAGGGAGACAGCTGTTATAGGGCGAAGGATCCCAGAAAGGCTGTTTTCTTAAGCCCTTGCCTTAATCTAAGTATCCTTGAAAGACAGAAAGGATCACAGAAAAGGTTGTTTCTTTAGTCCAATGCTGGAAAGGGAAGACTCGTAAGTTCCCCATTGCTGCCAATGGACCATATCTTCCCAGATGTTTCAGTTGCCAAGCCAAAAGTGACTTTTTTTCCCCATTAGCTGATTTCAGGAGACTTCTGAAAACATATCCAGGTATAAATTTTAATTTAATATTTTAAACTGTATATTTTAAAAATCTGTCAAATATGAATTGGTTATAATGTGAATATGTTGGGCTGTGTTCAGTTGTCTGATTATCTTTGTTGCTTGTGTAAATATAAATTGGATTTTATTTTTTGGTTTATGTTATTTTGTATTTTTATACGGCATTGAATGTTTATGCCCCTCTATATGCTTTAAGCCACCCTGAGTCCTCACTGGGGAGATAGGTGGGATAGAAATAAAGTCTCATTCATTCATTTATTCTTAGCCATGTGTCCTGCCAATACAGATTAATATACCTGCTCATTACTGTCTCCCCACCTCTTGAACTCCCTCCCTAAAGAATTAAAAATGGCCTCCTCTCTCCTCTCCTTTGAAAAGCTTTTTAAAACACATCTATGCACTTTAGTTTATGGAGAGGAGGAGCACCTTGGTATCTGTCCCAATCTAATCCAATGGCAATGAATACATCTGGCGTCTAAATTCAGAAAAATGACATCATATGATGACACGTTCATTTATTGTTTGTATGAACATCTGACACTTACTTACAGACACATCTGCCTGAAGATCTAAGTGGAGAGTATCCCCAATGTTGATGCACTACATGCTGAGATAGTGTGAAAGGATACTACGCACATGAAAGTTCTCCTTTCTATATAGAACTGTGCTCAGAATTTCTGACTGAGGATGAACACTATGAGTTGGAAACAGATAATTAATTATTGAGGTTAAGCATGATTGAATCAATATGACAAATTAGTCATTACTTAAGTCCCACTAGATTAAATTTGTTTCAGGTAAGGCAATTGGAATCTAAATTGACATGTGTATAACACATACACAGGGTGAGGGGACATATGTAAAATACACATTAGTAATGGTAGCAAACTTGCTGCTTTCACATCATATGTTCATCTGCATATATTTAATGTACTTTTGAATAACAACAACAACAACAACAACAACAACAATAACATTGATGCATAGCCAGAGTATTTTTCACAATTATCTTACTATGTTGGGCAGTTAATAATAATGAAAAAACAGCCTCCTTATTTAGTTTGATTATAAAATGTATAACAACAAAATAATTACAGTTTATGAAAGCATACATACATACTTTTGAGCATCGCATGGAACTCTCTATACGTTATCAGAGCTGAATGACGGTTGTTGTTTCCCATGTGATCCTGATTCAAAAGAGCAAAATCGCTATTTGCTTCCATGATGGCATAGGAAAGCATGAAGATCCTCACGGGGGGGGGGGGGGGGAGATAAAGTAGGGTTTCCTCTTAATTCCACATTCCAAACACATCACCTGATTAAAAACATAGGATCATTCATTATGCTTAGAGAATCTCCATGGCTTACTCTTCACACACCTCACCCAGAACTCTTTTTGAGATGTTCGCTACACTGAGGAAGAGCATGAGCGAGGGGGAGGGAGGGAGAGATATATATATTTCAGTCTTCTGCTGTCACATACCGCATGGCAGAAATAGCAGCCATTCCATCTTCCAGAAAGTGTTGTGCAATAGAGAGAGCAATTGTGTCTTAATTCCCATAGGAACTGCAACACAATAGCCTGAAGCACTGGAAACCTTCTGGATTCAAAATCCATCTTTTAGGTCAATTTGGAACACTTCATTTTTAAGTGGCAGAGGCTGACTGAAGGAGCAGATATAGGAATTATGGCTGGAGGATGGGAAAGCACTGTAATTGACTTGACCACTTTAGCTTGTTTTACTTACAGCACTTTTTCATCCCTTGCTACCTGTGCCAAGAAGCATCCATTGTAGACAAAAACAATCTGTCAGGAAAAAGCACCCTTGTTAAATTTTACTCCTTGGGTCCATTGTTACTGGAAGCACTCACTCTTTAAACACTTTTACCATTATTTTTTTCACCCAGGTTCTTTCAACCGTAACTAGGATTGTACAACTGTGGAGCTGTCTGCATTTGTCTTGAGCACCGAGAGCATAAATCACAGCACCACCAGTCTTTGGCAGTCAATCGAGGAGAAAACACTGTCTGAATCCAAGCTGTCTTCTTTAACAATCTCTGAGACTGATGATTGATAAAGAAGCCCTGTAATTATGGGTTTGGTAAGCTGCATCTCTAGTTGCCACCAGGTTTATGCTAAAGCAAAATTTGAGATAGATTTGGGAGATTCTACAAGACATTTTTGGAAGCTCTGGAAAAAGCATAAGTAATTTGCTAAACCTAGACAGTTTTTGCATCAGATATGCTACATTTCTAAGATGTCATCACATTTTTCAAGATGTATTTTGAAGGTTTCTAGGGAAATAAATTAGAATAGCAAGTGAAAAATTATCTTTCTTGGGAATTGCTTCTCAGATGAAATATCTAATGTATTTCAAAAGGACCATCATTATTTTATACTCTCCATTGCTAGGATATATGAAAAGCAAGGAATATACTCCAAGGACTTAACATAATTTTACTGATATTAACAACACACATTATTGGGATTTATTGATTTTGAGTCAAATTATCTTTAAACAGGAGCCATATTTAATACAAGGTCATTTATGATTTTTTTCCCATCTTGGCACAAAGTCAGAAGATGCTGTTGGTTTACAATAAACGATTGGTGATAATCATCATTGTTGTCATCCTGCCCATCATCCTATGAAGTTCCTTCTCCCCTAGGCTTTTGCCCCCTGATCACTGATTAACAAAGTAGAAATTATGTCTAAGGGCTTGATAAGACAATGGATGAATATAATTCCTGCGGGTGACTCAGTCTACTGCTAACAACCTAATACCATACCAAACAGATAAAATAGCTGGGTTAAAATAGCTGAAAGTACAAAGTGTTCATACTGAAGCTAAGACCTTGTTTCCTAGGCTGTATGTTGCTGTTTGTTGTAGTTTTAGAATAGCAGTTTTATAATTTAGCAAAATTAAGGTTTTATTTATTTGTTTGTTTGCTTGCTTGCTTTCAGATTGAAGTAGAGGCCACAAAGACTTCCTTTTGGGAAATGATTAAAGAAAAATTCACAGAACCCTGCTTCATGATCCTTCTTTTTCTTTAGGTAATAGGGACATAAAAATATCTATCAGTTTAAACTGGGATCAAAATGTTCACACATTTCACCTTCATGTGCAGAATAAATATAGTTTATAGATTGTTACCGTCTGTGCTAGAGGGATTTTTTCAATGTCTTTATTACTCAGAAATATTTTGCATATAGCAAAACACACACAGCACAGAAGGCAAAACAAAGCACCCCTACCACACAATAAGGTTAAGGTAAAGGTTTTCCCCTGATATGTAGTCCAGTCGTGTCCGACTCGTGTGGTGCTCATCTCCATTTCTAAGCCGAAGAGCCGGCATTGTCCGTAGACACCTCCAAGGTCATGGGGCCGGCATGACTGCATGGAGCGCCGTTACCTTTCTGCTGGAGCAGTACCTATTTGCATGTCTTCATGTTTCACATTTGCATGTTTTCGAACTGCTAGGTTGGCAGAAGCTGGGGCTGACAGCGGAAGCTCATGCCGCTCTCTGGATTTGAACCTGTGACCTTTTGGTTAACAAGTTCAGCAGCTCAGTGCTTTAACCCACTGCACCACACAATAGTTATGTCTAAAATACACTTTTATTTGAAACTTGAGGCAGGATAAGAATGAGAATCGTTAAATTCTAGTCTGGCAATAATTAAATAGCTGCTTTTGTGGAGAAAAAGCCACAACCATATTTGATGATCTGCATAAGAAACAAAGAGCTTTTCACCCATTCCTTTCATGTAGTGATAGCAGTTATCACATGTTCATCCAGTTGTTTGGAACTAAAGCTTCACTGATCAGTGCTTGAACCATATTACCAAAGATTAGCCAGATATTCAATAGGAAGAGAACCTGGCAGATTGTATATTTATCAATCACTATGTGAATTAGCTGTTTGAATCCTCACATAGTCAGCTGTAAAAAGCCAAGCTGTAGTTTACAATCTGCAATTTTTGTTGCTGTTGCTGTGCTTTGTTTTCCCCTCAGAAAAGATAATTGCTTTAAAAGCAATTATTAAATTATTGCAGTGTTGCTACATACAAAAAACAATTGACTTGCAAGGAAAGTTAGCAAAAGGAAAAAATAGTCAATTGGTTCTCTAATTGCCCTGCTGGTAATGCAGGCTATATGTTGCCTGCCTAGCCTAAAGTCTTGGAACAGAGCTGAACTACTGCCAAGCTCATCCACAAGAGACAGATAACGGAACAACCTCAGTTGGAGGTTATTTTGCAAAATAGCAAGGAAAAGCACGACTTTACCAAGAGCAATATTATCAGAAGGGTGCAGAAGAGTATAAGGTCCAAATATTTGCAATTCAATTCATTATTTGCATCTCAAATGTAATCTTTCAGATTTTCTCTAATAGTGTGGTCATATTGCACTTGACAGGATGCTCACAAGCAACATAATATAGCCAGAGGAAAACCTTTATGTTGTTTATATTACTGAATGTAGGAACCAATGATACTGTTAGGCATACTTTTCAAAAGATCACAAATGAGTTCTTGGAACAAAGCTAAAACAGTGTAATGTACAGGCGGTCTTTTCTTCCCCCCTCCCTTTTGTAATACACAGCCTCACAAGGTCCAGAAAAATAGTACAGGTCAATAACTGGCTCAGAAAATGGTGTCAGGAGGAACACTTTGGCTTACTTAACCAAGGCCTGCTTTTCCAGGAGGATGGCCTACTGGTAAGAGATGTGGTTTATCTCACACAAGTATGAAACTCTTGTTTGCTCATAGACTCAGAAACACTTGAAAGTAGGCCCACTGAGGGAGTGGGGGAAGACCCTTTTGAATAGTACTTTACCCAAGGCCTAAAGGCTAAATGAAGTGTTGCACAAACACAACAAGGACCAAGTACTGAGAGCACAACAATCCCAAATAAACATCTCAGGAGAAGGTCTCAGGTGCTTACCTGTCTTTACACTAATGTGCAGAGCATGGGAAATAAACAAGACAAACTCAAACTTTTAGCACAACACCATACTTACAATCTCATAAACATCACTGAAACCTAGTGGGATGACTCCTATTGCTGGAATGTAGACATCAAGGGCTATAACCTCTTTCACAGAAACAGAACAAAGGGGAGAGGAGGGGGAGTAGCCTTATATGTGAAAAACAGCCATGTCACAGAAGAGATGCAAGACTGCAATCTAGGAAAACAGCTTAAAAGCATCTGGATAAGAATCAAGGGAACCGGGACTCAAAAAAGATCTCGTTGTGGGTGTCTACTATAAACCTCTGGCCAGGATGAAAAACTCAATGAAGCCTTCTGCCAACAGTTGACCAAACAGGCACTAAGAAGAGATATAGTAGTCATGGGCAAATTCAACTATCCTGATATTTGCTGCAAAACAAACTTGGCCAAGAGTACAAGGTAAAAAAAAAAGCTCTCTTGCCTTGCAGACAGTTTTATGGTCCAGAAGGCAGAAGAGGCAACAAGGGGACTGGCTACTCTCAATCTCATCCTAACAAACAGGGAGGACAGATCCTTAGGAGCAAGTGACCAAGTGGTACTTGGTCACTTGCTCCTAAGGATCTGTCCACTTCAACAGCATTGATCTGGTCCTCCATGTTTGTTAGGATGAGATTGAGAGTAGCCAGTCCTCTTGTTGCCTTTTCTGCCTTCTGTTTGCGAAGGAAGGCTGAAACTAAGACAAGTCAAGCCCACATACTAGACTAAGAGAACTGACTTCCAAAAAATGAACAAAATACAGATCAGAATTCTATGGACATCGATACTAAAAGTCAAAGAAGTTACGGATGGATGGAAGTGTCAACAAACATGTCAACAAAGAGAAAAAAATGCAAAGAAGCCAGAATGAATGTCCAAATCCACAAGCATGTGGACAATTTCAACAGAAAGGAGGAAACCATAAAAATGAACAAAATCCTATACACATGAGTTCAAATTATAGGAAAGGAGATTCCAACTGAACATTAAGAAGAACTTCCTGGCCATATGAGCTGTTCAACAGTGGAACTCTCTGCCTTGGAGTGTGGTGGAAGCTCCTTCTTGGAAACTTTTAAACAGAGACTGAATGGCCATCTGTCAGGGATACTTTGTGCTTTTCTTTCATGGCAGGGGGTTGGACTAGATGGCCTATGTGGTCTCTTACAACTCTATTATTCTATGGTTATATGATTCTATCTACTTGGAAAGTCTCAATGAGATGTCCAAGGACTAAACACTTTGGCTAGAATCCTGAGAGTGAACAATGCTGATACAAAATCTGATAAATAAGTATTTGAATTGTTTAGAATATTATGCAAGGATGAGGATTGCATGAGACATGATAGTCATGAGAGGAAGTCATAGAGAGAAAGGAGCAAGCTTGTTTTTTTACTGCCCTGGAGACTGGGATGTGGAACAATGGCTTCAAACTACAGGAAAGGAGATTCCACCTGAACATTAGGAGGAACTTCCTGACAACAGGAACATACAAGACATTGCTGCCCATTGTATGATCAGTTCTAGAACACCAGAATCCAATATGACTGGTACAGCATAATACTGTCATTTCTCACTGGATTATATTTATGCTCTGGAAATGCTGAACAGAAATTTAATCTTAATTATTTTTCAGTCATCAGTTGTTTGTTTGTTTGTTTTGAAGCAAAATGCTGGTAACATACCATTGTTTGTGCTTGCTTTCATCCTACAAGAAACTGTAGACCTGCTGCCTGAAATAGAAAAAGACTCCAATTGGATCACAGCAAAAAATTCCTAGTTCCCACATTATCCAATAAAATGCCTCAGGAAACCCACAAGGAGTAGAAAAGCCCAGTAGAACTCACCAGAGTTTATGGTCCTTAGCAACTATAATTGGCAATAATTTTAAGAGACTGATGTACTGTCTCTGATACTAGAGACTGTATTTAAAAAATCAAAGTTCAAAGCTATGACTATAGTAGTGTTCTTTTTTAAAAAAAATCATATTCTAGATAAACACAAAATATACAGTCATTTTAGATATATAAAACTACCAAGATGATACAACTACATACTGTATTTGTTTAGATTTAGCTACATAAGCTACATCTAAACAAATGTTTAA